AGTGGCGCGCTCATCGCTCCAACCTCCGGGAGGGGGGGAGGGAGGCGTTGCTCTCTCCTCCTTTTTCCCTCCTCAAAATCCCGCTCTCTCTCCCCCTCTCAGGCCCCCCCGGGGCGCGGAGCAGCGCGCTGCTTCCCGCCCCCTCGCGGAGGGCGGCGGGAGCGCGCGGCGGGAGCGCGCGGCGGGAACGCGGCGCGGGGCCGAGCCGGGGCCCCGCGGAGCTGCCCCCGCCCCGCGGCACCTCCCCCCGCGTCTCGCCGGCGCTTTAAAGGAGGAAAAGCTACTAAACTTCTATTGTACCCGCACACGGAGCGCGCCGCGCTGCCTTGGACCGTACAATCTGTGCTGCACGCCGGGAAAGGGCGATTTCTCTCTCCGTTGATCCTTATTTTCTCCAGCCGTAGTGGGAGGAAGACAGCTACATTCCCCCCTGCTTTTCGCCCTTTATTCTTCGTACTTTCCTCCTTTTTTGGGTCATTTTTGATATTTTTTTCCTTGTTTTGTTATTCCCCACACCGTCCGCAATAATTGCCTCGCTACGCCTCGCAGCTGGTGCGTTGGAGAAGCCGGTGAGTTGCGGAGCTCTGCGCGCCCATCACTTGATTTTTTTTCTTGTATATTTATATTTATATATATTTATTTATATATACACACACATATGTATATATACATATATATATCCCCCCACCCCTCCGCGGTTGTGGCTTGGACTGACATGGGCTGGTGACAGCGGGGCTACCGGCGGGGCTGCGCGCCGCGGATGTGGATATATATGGACGGTGCAGCCGGGGGACGCTCTCCGGGCACCGGCGCTCCCCATCCTCCTTTCCGCGCTCGCTCGAGTTTTCCCCCTCTTTTCTCCCCCCTCCCCTTTGTTTTTTTTAGGGGGGGGGGGGAAGAGGGGAAGCTTTTGCACCCCCAGCATATGGAGGGGCAGGTTCTGATTATTACAAGTATTGGCTATTTACATAAATATATTTTTGTATAGATAGAGCATGTATTATATGCATGTCTGCATATATGCATACACATTATATATATATATATATATATATGTGTGCGTGTGTGTATGACAAAATTGGGCAAACTTTGCCAAGCTCTCCACCGCCCCCGAGCCCAGGTGGGCAGCAGCCCGGCTCCCCTCGGGGCCGAGGAGGGACGGCCGCCCCTTGCCGCCTGGAAGGACGGGGACAGCGCGGCGACGGCTCTGCTGGCCGCGAGCACGGGCGGAGCGCTGCGCGGCGCTGCGCGGCTTCGGGCACGGTGGTCTGGGCTGCGCCGAGGGTTCATCCTTCCCGCTTGCCCTGCCGGGGCTTGGAGGAGGTGGGGGCGAGTCTTGCATTTATTTGTGTTATTATTGTTATTATCGCGATTTTTTCCGCCGGAGTGGGAAGYAGGGAGGGCGGTCGGGAGCTGCCGCGAGGCGCGGGCGGGAGGCAGCGCAGCCGCTCGCCGGGGCGCAGCCTCAGCCGCCGTGTCCCCCCCTCCGCAGGCACCAGCCGCCGCGATGCCGCTCAACGCGAGCTTCCCCAGCAAGAATTACGATTACGACTACGACTCGGTGCAGCCCTACTTCTACTTCGAGGAGGAGGAGGAGAACTTCTACCTGGCGGCGCAGCAGCGGGGCAGCGAGCTGCAGCCGCCCGCCCCGTCCGAGGACATCTGGAAGAAGTTTGAGCTGCTGCCCACGCCGCCGCTGTCGCCCAGCCGCCGCTCCAGCCTGGCCGCCTCCTGCTTCCCCTCCACGGCCGACCAGCTGGAGATGGTCACAGAGCTCCTGGGCGGCGACATGGTGAACCAGAGCTTCATCTGCGACCCGGACGACGAATCCTTCGTCAAGTCCATCATCATCCAGGACTGCATGTGGAGCGGCTTCTCCGCCGCCGCCAAGCTGGAGAAGGTCGTGTCCGAGAAACTCGCGTCCTACCAGGCGGCCCGCCGCGAGGGGGGCCCCGGTGTCCGGGCCGGCCCGCCGCCCCCGCCGCCTCCGCCTGGCCTCGCCGCCTCGCCCGTCGCCTCCGCCGGCCTCTACCTGCACGAGCTGGGCGCCGCCGCCGCCGACTGCATCGACCCCTCCGTGGTCTTCCCCTACCCACTCAGCGAGCGGGCGCCCAAGGGTGGCGCGCCCGGCGCCAGCCCCGCGTCCCTGCTGGGCGACGACACGCCGCCCAGCACCAGCAGCGACTCGGGTGAGCGCCGGGTTTGCGTGGAGCTTGCGCCGGGTTTGCGCGGGGCTGCTCCGCGCAGCGCGACTCCAACTCGCTCCCCCCCCCCGCAGTGCATGTGCCTTTTTTAAATGCCACGTTAGCGAGGCGCATCGAGACTCCCGCTGGATTTCTTTCCTGGAAAACTAGCCTATTTTTCCTTCCAAAAGTGGAGTAAAAGCGAAAAAAAAAAAAAAAAAAAGCGCGGGGAGAGAAACTTTCATAACGGGGTCAGAGTTGGTCACCACGGCTTGCGCGGTGTCCAAGCAGAGCGCTTCCCGGTGACATCCACGGGCTGGGAAGGAGTTAACTATTGCGTTGGAGACCCAGGGAGAGCGGTTCAGGCGGGAGGTGCTAGTGAAAGTGGCTGCAGCAGTGAATGGGGCTGGGAAAGTTTTAGAAAGGCTTCCCTTAGRTATTTGACAGCATGTTCCGTTTACTCGTAAATTTGGGTTAAAAGCAAGTCGCTACTCGAAGCACTACCACCCTCCCCACTTTATTATTATTATTTTATTTTCTAATCTTGGATCTTCCACAAATTAGTTGATCGCAGAAGATTGGGAAAATGCCTCTGCGCACACATGTGTGTTAAGTAAGCCTTCTTGAGGCGTGGCCAAAGCCTCCTAAATCCTTAATTAAGGGCAGCTTGAGTCTGGAAGCTTTATTGCGCTGACAGTCGAGGTTAGACTTTCCTCCTGTCTTTCATACACTCCTCAGAATTACGCAAGATCTTTGCAACTTTTGAAATCTGGGATCCGGAGCTTAGAAAGCAGTCCATGCCCTGTTGTGCTTGAAGCAGTGGCTTCCTTAAAGGGAAGCCACTTCAGGACAGTGGAGGTTAGGCACYGGAACAGTTTTAGCATGGCTTTCTCAATGGGATCCTGACTGAGTGGCTCAGAATAGCATTCCCTTATACATAAGTGCGCAGTATGCTATTTATTTGCACAGATCCACTTAACTTTTTTTTTCTTCCCTATCTCACAGAAGAAGAACAAGAGGAAGACGAAGAAATTGATGTTGTCACCTTAGCTGAAGCGAATGAATCTGAATCCAGCACAGAATCCAGCACAGAAACATCAGAAGAGCACAGTAAGCCCCACCACAGCCCACTAGTCCTCAAACGGTGTCATGTCAACATCCATCAGCACAACTATGCTGCTCCTCCCACCACCAAGATTGACTATCCAGCTGCGAAAAGGCTAAAGTTGGACAGTGGCAGAATTCTCAAGCAGATCAGCAATAACCGCAAGTGCTCGAGTCCCCGCACGTCAGACTCGGAGGAGAACGACAAGAGGCGAACGCACAACGTCTTGGAGCGCCAGAGGAGGAACGAGCTGAAGCTGAGTTTCTTCGCCTTGCGTGATCAGATACCGGAGGTAGCCAACAACGAAAAGGCACCAAAAGTCGTCATCCTGAAAAAAGCCACAGAATATGTTCTTTCTATCCAGTCAGATGAACACAGACTGATTGCAGAGAAAGAGCAGTTAAGGAGGCGGAGGGAACAGTTGAAACACAAACTCGAGCAGCTAAGGAACTCTTGTGCATAGGAACTCTTGGGCATCATTTAGAATAACCCAAACTAGACTGAAACCATGATAAAATATTAATGTTTCTAATATCACTCATGAACTACACCCAGTCCATAAAGGATGGTACAATTGCAACTGCATGCTGTGCGATTTTTAACTTGAGACTACACAACCTTGGCTAGACCTCTGAACGGCTTAGCCAGAACCTCAAAACTGCCTCATAATTGATACTTTGGGCATAAGGGATGATGGGACATTCTTCATGCTTGGGGATGAACTGTTAAACTTTTTTTCTTTTGAAAATTTTGTATTTAAGGCATTTTTTCCTATGAGAATTCCAAAAAGTTGTCCCCAGAACGCTGTATATATTTACACATCTTATTGCCATGTAAATACCTTTAATAAAATCTTTATAGAAAATGTGCAACATTAATACACAACAGTTGTGGCAACTGGATTTATACTTGTCTTGAACTTCTGTGCCATAGCATTTCACAGTTTTGTTTTTTATTTAAATACATTTTTCTTTTTAAAATGATTTTTATTTTGTTTTTAGATAAATAAATATTTGCCCAAAATATAATTAGCTAAATCCTGTGTAAAGACTTTGCTTTGTCTTACAGTATTGTCATTAGATGTACATTTCCACGTTGTTCCTCTCTGTGTCGTCGTGCTTCTGATCTCATGAGAACTAAAGCATAATTTTAGCCAGGCAAGAAGAAACAGTAACAAGTTTTACAGCCTAATGGATAGCTTTCCTTCTTTCTTTCCTCCTCCTCTTGCTTCAAATAGTCCCAACCAATGATCTTTAATGGACTTTGTAGGTTCAACCAATTTTGTCGCCCATGCCCCAATGATGGGGACCTTGCAATGTCAGTCTTGAATGTGACCATCTATCTGCTACACGTGAAGCTGCAGCACAGTTGAGGCATTGAATTTGTCCATCAGTTCTCTTAGCATAATGCCTCTGTCGTGCTTTTCTTATACCTTTAGCTGTGTTTGGTGGTTCTGACCTTCGTTTTCCATTAGAGGCACCACTGTGTGTTCCGAGGACTATGTTGGAGAGTCACCGTAATTGCTTCCTCTTTGATTTTTTGAGCAGTAGAATGGGGTAGCAAAATAAACCAAGAGGGTGAGTGTTGATGTGGCTAAAACAACAGAGCAATTTCCCTTTCAAGCCAGCTCTTCCCATGCAAATGACTCAGTTTATCAATACGAGTAGTTGTTAGAGAGTTCAAGGAATACAAATTCCAAGGGCAAAACTAGAGCACACAGAGCCACCCTATGTTAATTATTATGTGAACTTCACAAATCAGAAGGAAAAACAAAAAAGCAAGCAAACAAACAAAAAGAATAGCTATACTTTATCTGGAATTCTTGATATAACTGGAGCCTGTCCCTATTTAACAGCCTTTCAATTTAGAAACTGCCTCACAGCCACCTTCCTATTGGCCCTGATGTTACTTGATACAACTCCTTAGATAAGTCGTTTGATCCTTCATCCAACCCTTTCTTTCACCCATTTAGCTCCCCTTTAGTAGGAATTTAAGTCAGAAATCAATTAGCCCTTTGACTGGGGGTGGAAGAAGGTACTTTCAAAAAAGTCAGGTCATGAACTCTTAGATTTTCATAATTCGCCATTAAATAAATATTTGCTTGGCTCCTAACCATTTGATCAGGCAATGCYGGTGCCAACAGTCCAAGGGACCTGGAGGTTCATGTTTTCTGCTGCTGTTGCACCTGGCCAGGGAGAGTTCTGGTGTGACTGTTTGGAGGGTGGAGGACAAGGAGGGTTATTTGGGGGTGTAAATGGTGACAGGTAGCATTTCGTGGACATGGTAGATGCCAAAGACTCTGCCGTGAAGAGCTTAATGTAATTGCCCTGACAGAATCTGCACTTAAAACTTGAAGAAAAAAAAAAAAAAAAAAAAAAAAGATAAAAGAATTACCTGAATCTCTTTGTATGTGCTTCAGTGTTGGGTGCTGAGGATTCTTTGGGGAAAAAAATCTCCTTTAGCAAAACTAAAAAGTTGAAGTTTTTCCTTTAACTTTTATCTCCTTTTATCTCCTGCCTAGTTATAAATGTGGTCTCTAGTTGCTTTTTTTTTTTTTTTTTTTTTTTTTTTTTTTTT